GTGTGGTGGTATATTGTTGCTGGGGAGGTCTGTTGTTGCAGGTGGGGGATCTATAGTTAATGGGTGTCAATTGTTGCTGGAAGGGGTCTACTGTTGAGGAAGGGGTCTATTGTCTAGTTTTGCTGGCTGTAGGAGAGTCTATTGATGCAGGCTGCTGGGAAATTTGTTGTAGCTGATGAGGGGGTCTATTGTTGCTGGAGTTCTATTTTGTTTTGGGGGTCGTTGTTGCTGGAGGAATCTATGGCTTCCAGCTATCTTTTTTGTTATCATTAAAAAGTTCCATAAAAAAATATTTAGCACCACAAAATTACATTTGGTTCTGTATTCTCTAAAAGGAGAGGTACTAGAAGGTGGGTAGGAGGAGGCGGAGATGAGAAATGACTCAAAAGGGGGAGTTCCTGCACCTATTTATTGAGGAAAAAAACCCATGGTATTCACCTTCTTTTGCAGGTTAACCTATGTGGAATTTTTCTTTTTTTTACTGATAGGACACTTTATTGGTTATATCCCCAAAGCTGATATTTTATTACTAGATGGATGCTGGTGTGTTACAGCGTCCAGTGGCTGTTAACACCTATCTGAGAAACGGTCTTCCTGTTGTATTTCTCAGTGTACCCCACATAATAGGAAATCCCAATAAAAGGGAACTAGCTGGGAGTTGGCACTGGACAGCAGCACAGGGATCTTGCCATTAGAGACCTGGATAGTTATGGGAACCCAGTGTATGCTGAGACATGTCAACATGCACATAAGACTGAAATGCCAGCTTTGGATAGGCCTAGTCTAAACATGATGCCATCCACAGTGCAGTAAAAAGTGTAAAGCATGAAAATATTTACATTAAAAAAAAGAGCGCAGTATATAAAATATAATCGTGCTAAAACCGTAAAAAAAACCAACCTCTTGCAAACAGCCCATACCAATTATATATAATAGTAGAATTAAACTTTCACTACATATTTTTTTAAACATCCCTTTCAGTTTTATGTTGCCATATCCATGTGAGTTTGCACTGTAATAATTATTCTGTATGTTGTTTGCAGTTTAAGTACTTTTTTCTATAGGCTTCCATCTTTTTTTTTAATAATAAAAAATCTCCAAAACACCTGTGTACAGCTATCATTAGTATTATTAGTCTAATGGATGTTGATTTATGATGTATAGACTCCATTCACCTCTATGGTGAGCAAGTTAGTCACACACTGCATAGGCGGACTAAACCTGGTAGGGGCTAATTTATACTGGGTATGTATGATGACCTCCATTCATCAGAGATGTTCCTAGAAATACATTGTGGGATTAAGCTTTGTCTCCAAGGGTGTTCACTGTTTCTGGTGCAAGCATGCAGTACTGTTAAAGTTACTAGCCTGGCAATTTGATGAAAAGAGGGCACCTCGGTGTGCCTTGCCTCCCTTCTGGAGTAATATTCAAATTCTAACATGATGTAGGTGCGTGGCTCTTGAGCATGTTTTCCCCTATTAAGTGAGGCCCCATATAAAAAGCTGCAACAATAGGGTGGAGGGCCTAACTTACTAAAATTAGTTGGTATTTGCATATTAAAGTGTCATGGGTTTCATGGCCCCATGGGCACTTCCAATAAGACATCACCTCTATGCAGGTAATTTGGTGTGCCCACTATTGTATGCAAATGTGAGCTTAGGAACCTCAGTGGTGTTGCATGTACACTTTTTATCACTGATTATGCTGTCATGTGTTACAAATAATACTCTCAATGTGTTTGTACAGCCAAACAATTGCTTTGTTTCCCACACATTGAGTAAAAGGTGATAATTTTAGATGCTAGTGTATGGAATAAAAGACTGACATACTATTTGGACATGGTGGTTCAAATGCAACATGGCAGAAAGGGGTGGCTGGATCATTTTAATTTCTTTTCGGTTGTTAAATCATCTATAAAAAATAAATGTACAAGTTTAAAGTTAATTAAAAAAAATCTTAATATTGATCAAAGACACCTGAGCTTCATATTGACACCTTCTAAGGAAGCAAGAATGTTTGCCAGCTCTTTTACACATAGTCTTTAAAAGAAGCATTACTCATACATCATGACACCTACATTATGCACTGGAATGGCTGAAGCTACATAACTACTGTGAGTTTTCCAAAGTAGCTAAAAAAAAATAATGCATTGTATGTGGTATGATGACTTTGCAGAGGAGCATATTTCCAAAGACAAAAGTTAGCTATGGACACTACATAATGGTTAGCCTTGCTGCAGGATCCGACATGTCTAGGTAAGGCAGGCCATGCAATTTTCTTTCCTGCAACCATGGGTCAATGGGCATTGTTGATGGGGGAATCCCTCCTGAAAAGCTATTGTGTTCTCCTGGTGGGGGGTGACATGGGGAGCCTTCCCTGCTGGGAGAACAGAGTGACTATTGCTAGTGGCTATAGCTGCTGGCAAAAACAGGATGTAAAAATCCAAGTGCTGGTTGTACCCAAGTCGTACAACAATCGAACTGGGTACAGTCAACCTGCCCATAGATGGTTCAAATTTCAGTCAGTCCCTACTGAACCAGCCAAGATTCAAACCATCTATGGCTGGCTTAAGTGTATAGATATGCACACTCACAGATTGCATGAGGCTATGTAGTCAGCTCATATTCACAGCATCATTGTTATTTCAAGGGATCCAAATAAACAGACTGGGAAAATCCAACATGGACAATCCACTTTTCTCCTCGAGAAGGATCAGCTAGGGGTGTCTGATTTTAATATTAATGAACACAGCAATACTCAGAAGTTTATGGATATCCTATGACCTATTCTCTATCACAGTTTATAGATTCAAACTTTGGATTTAGTATCAGCTACAAAGAAGAAGCTTATCTATAGCTAATATGTAAAAAAAAAATGCATAGAACTATAATATATTATAGATGTATGCAATGACTTTGGAGGAAGAGGGTGGGGGGAGCAGATACACTGATAACATGGAAGGATGTTTAGATATCTCATGTTTACTCTTTTATTCTATTGTCTGCATACGTGTGTGCCTTTCATTAGACCTCACCAGATACAGCATAAAATATTACAGATTTATTAATATGTGCCATTGATAAGCACTGACAGAACTCGCTAGCTGGGCTTCTAACTAGCATGCTTGAGAAGAAATGTCCAGGCATGCACCAAAAATTCCAGATCATGCCAGCCTTTTGTTAAGGTATGTTTTACATGAGGCTTAAAAGGGAAGCACAATTTTTGCTACTGAAAATCTTTAAGGACAGTAATATTACTTTTGCAGCTGAACTTTTACTTGAGCTCTTCCGATTTGTGTGATCGGGTTAATTTAAATTCACAGTTTTGTTCCCAAGAGGAATTGGGCAGCATTATATGTGTGCAGACGGAACACTACAGGCGGTTTTTGATGATGATTATGATAAGGAATTAAAGTGGCTCAAAAGTCAAAAAGGTTTTTTTTTTTACCTTCATGCATCCTCTGCATTAAGGTAAAAAAGCCTTCCAATACCCGTTTCCCCCCATCCCGTTCCTAAACACTTGAGCCCTCTCACGATCCAGTGCTGTCCTCATCTGCAGCGCCGCTGATCAATCTTCCTGGTCTCACAGGAGACTCTTAAAGCAAGGGAGCCATAGTCTCTTGCTCTTGTCAGTCTAATTTTGTGAGACGGGAGCATGGGGCATCCACAGTCTAGCTTGGGAGCGCACCCACATTGGTGCCCCATAGCGCACAGCTTGCTGAGGAGGCACTCACAGGAAGGAGGAATACCGGCAGGGGACTCTAGAGGAGGAAGTAGGGAGTTGCCCTTTCCATCAAAGCATGTAAGTATAACATTTTATTTTAAGCCCAAAAGGTTTTACCCTTAATATCAATTTAACGGTACTGAATGAAGCCCCATTGCTGCCAAGGTTGCAATCAATCATTTTTTTCAAGAATCTTCGGTAAAGTTGTAAATGCATAATTGAATCTGGTAATGCTTTTGAACCTTACTAAAACCATGTTTTTGGATATAGTGTATACCTAAGAACAGCTATACAGTACTTGCTCCTCACATAGGCAGGCTGTGCTTCTTGCTTAGTCGTGACCAGTAGTGTTTGTATTTTATTCTTACTATCCCTAAATCTGAGTCTGCTCAGGCTGAATAGAAACAGAACGCTTTCTTTGTGGCTTACTGATTTTATTACATAACTTGGCCATCAGAGTTGCTAGTCAGCCAATAAAGGAAGAATTTTTAAATGTGAAACTAAAATAAAGCTGTTAAAACACAGGACACTAAAAATGCAAAAAAAAACCATATAAAAATGATCTTCATGTAAACCTTTAAATGTGTACTTACTGAAAAACAATAGCCTTTAAAGATAGCCATTATTGTGTCTGATGGTTTTATACATAGCTTATAGAACATATTATGTATTCAGGGGCACTGAATGCAAAGATAATATTTCTAGGTCAATAGAATAACCTGGTAATGTAACAAATTGCCACAATGGATACTATATTGTGACAGTATGAAACAATCTTTGTTCTAGGTGATAGAATATTTTTTTGGGTAGTGAGTTCCCAGCAAATAAAATGATTCTGTGTAGTAAGCCAGTGAATGGCAACCCAGCATAATGTAAATTATGTAGGATGGACTTTTTCTATAATTGTGTGCAATGCCAATATTGTAAAAGGTTAGAAAAAAAAAAAAGATGAAACATCTAGTAAAGACCACAGAAAGTGATACAATAATGGGTCATGGCTTCCACCAAGAGAAGGTGTAGGCTCCGTGCTCTACTCTAGTAATGGTGCTCATGGCAGACCACACTAACATGGACTTGATCTTTGACTGTAGACTACACATTTGTATATTTTCTCAATCCATAAAAGATGCTGGCTTCTTGTTCCAACTCCTACTGGTCCACACGTACACACTGAAGTTTGTTACTGGAAATTACTGCTGGAGATTTTGCAGGCTTAAATTTTCATCTTCTGTAGGCATAGGGATGTCTGTATACATTCTGCATTCTTCTCATAGTTCCTAGAAAGCAGTAGCAGCAGCAGGTCCTCGGGTGTCTTCTGGGTTCAGCCAAGCAGCTTTGTTTATGGAGTCATGTGCACAATGTTCTTCCTCTCTCCTTAACACAATGGAAAAATAAGTTAGTGCTTTGACTTGTGTTCATGTCATGCTATGTTATATGTTCATGTAAAAGGAAAAAAGTTCAAGAAGATTATTGTCATTCCCATTATAAGGGTTACATCAGTAAGACTGACTGAAAAGAGAAATTTCTTTTCAGATCATCTGCTTTGCTGTGGACTTTTAGCCTTTTGCTTTGTACATACACTCACCGGCCACTATTCGGTACACCTGTTCAATTGCTTGGAAAAAAATTGCTAATCAGCCAGCCACATGGCAGAAACTCAATGCATTTAGGCATCTAGACGTGGTGAGGACGACTTGCTGAAGTTCAAACCGAGCATGAGAATAGGAAGATGGGGATTTAAGTGAATTTAAACATGGCATGGTTGTTGGTGTGAGTATTTCAAACACTGCTGAGAATTTCACATACAACCATTTCTAGGTTTTACAGAGAATGGTCCGAAAAAGAGAAAAATATCCAGTGAGTGGCGGTTGTGTGGACGAAAATACCTTGTTGATGTCAGAAGTCAGAGGAGAATGGCCAGACTGGTTAGAGATGTTAGAAAGGCAACAGTAACAAACTAGAAAAGCTACAATTTCTGATGAAATTGTGTGAAGTGTTCTTGCCTCCACCAGTAGTCTACAACTGGAGTGGGTGGAGTAACTGGGTGGAGTGGCTTGAGTAACTGTTGTGTGATTGGAGTGGCTGGAGTAACTGTGAAAAGGTTTTGTCAGCTCCCATTCTAGTTTTGAACATTCCGCCATTTATTCCTATGGGACCAATTTCACCACAAAAACGTCGATATTTCGTGAACCAATTCGGCGAAACGTTCCACAAAGTAATAACAGCACGTTTCAGTATATTACTGTCTATGTAGTGTAAAAACTGTGGGAGGAGTTAGGGTGGTAAATTTGGCTATAATAAGAATACATATGTGAGATAACAGTAAGTGGTCTTACCATGAAAGAACACATAACCACTCATTACAACCAAGGTATGCAAAATTACATCTGTGAACGCACAACACGTCAAACCTTGAAGCAGATGGGCTATAGCAGGAGACCACTCTGGGTTCCACTCCTGTCAGCTAAGAACAGGAAACGGAGGCTACAATTCGCACAGGGTCTCCAAAATTGGACAATAGAAGATTGGAAGACCGTTGCTTAGTCTGATGACTCTCGATTTCAGCTGGGACATTCATATGGTAGGGTCAGAATTTGGTGTAAACAACATGAAAGCATGGATCCTTCCTGCCTTGTAGCAACGGTTCAGGCTGGGGGTGGTGGTGTAATGGTGTGGGGGTTATTTTCTTGGCACTAGCAAGGTGTACATAATAAATTTGGCCAGTGAGTGTATGCCATGGTCAAACTCCAGAAGAGTCACATACTACAGTGGTTAAATACCATTTTAAGGTTTACATGCATGACCTAATTTACCTGCAACCAATGCAGCCATGTAACAAGTTAACAAATGAGCAATAAAAATAATATTGTATCTCAAATTACACTCAGCGAACTTCAGCATCTGGCTTACCAAAAGATTTCAGATTTTCTGATACGGTTTTACTGATCTCTGATGGACAGGGTGTTGTAATACTCTCTGGAGCCTAAAATATAAACAATACATGAATACTTTTTTAATCATAGTTTGCTTTGGTAAAATTTTTTAAAAAGAAGCAAGTATGCACTCCTACAACGTTCATCAACTACATATAGTCATTTTCCATTGGAGCTACAATATGTTTCTATACCAAGTAAAGTACATACAGTATGATTTCAACAAATTTTTATGCTTTCGGCCACTCAAGGACACTTCTTCCTACCTCTCCAGTTGATTGCCCTTTGTTTACCCCACCACTCTTTGAGGCTAGCTGCAGGTGTTTGAGGCTTGCTGTAGATGTATCAGTTTTATTCTAGTGCTTGTTTATGTGAAGGTCACTCTGCATGTCTAAGACAGGCCATAGACAATGATTTTCTTTCCTGCAACCATGGGTTACGGGAAAGAAAACTGCAGGATTCCCCCATCAACGCAGTTAGTGTTTATGGGGAATTCCTCACGTGGAGTTATGTTTTCCTGGTGGGGGGGGGTGAAGTTGCAGCTCTTGTCCTGGGGCAGAGCCATCCTTTCCAGGAGAATACAGTGATTATTGCTAGCTGCTGGCAATAATCACATATAAAAACACGACATGCTGGTTGTACTCAAGACATACAACAAACTGGGTGCAATCAGCACCCCCTACCCATAGATGGTTCGAATGGGCACCGGCTGAGATCTGAACCACCTATGGCCGGCTTTACAATCACAATTTCTATCTATAGCTAGCCTGAGGCCCCTTTCACATGGGGCAGATTTCGTTCTGATCAGCATGGGATCTGCTCACAGATCACTGATTGCAGCAGAGTGGACTGATGACATCTAAGTTGCCTCAGTTTATGCTGAGCAAACGCAGATGGAGCCCACTGTACTCTGTGGGCAATCCGTAGTAAACCGACTCCGCTGTCCATTTACACCTGACTACCTCTGATCTGATCCGCCTAAACAAAAGTGAACAGATCCCGTTCATGTTTCATTTAGCACACTGGATCGGATTGGGTCCAGAGATAGTTGGGTGTAAAATGGACACAAGTCAGTTTACACCTGCCTGTCCACAGGGCTGCATGGATTTTCCAATCTGACAGGTGGACCTGATCGAATTGCCCATGTGAAAAGGGGCCTAAAGCTAGACATACAGGCGCCGGTGGAATTTTGATCAGTGTGTGGGCTCCCCGCTTGACGGAAGTTGATTGTTCAATAGACTTCTGCTGAGGAAAAGAAATTTAATCTCCAAATACGGAAAGGTTTCTTCACAGTAAGAGCTGTGAGAATGTGGAATAGACTCCCTCAAGAGTTGGTCCTGGCCAGCTCAGTGGATTGCTTTAAAAAAGACTCGGATCATTTCTTGGATACACAGAATATAATGGTTACTAACATTTATAGGTAAAGTTGATCCAGGGAATATCCGATTGCCTCTCGGGGGATCAGGAAGGAATTTATTCCCCTGCAGGAGCAAATTGGATCATGCTTTGTTGTTTTGTTTGCCTTCTTCTGGATAAACTGTGGGTGTAGGATTATAACCCTTTTTTTTGTTGAACTAGATGGAATTTTGTCTTTTTTTCAGCCAGACTAACCAACTAAGGGACATGTTGGAAAATTGTTCCCTACTTAGCAGCTACAGTTACTGATCAGTATATTATGAAAGTGGAGGGTACCACTGACTTGGTGAAGGGGATTCCTCCATGCACCTTGTTTGTCTGGATAGAGGAGTCTGTTACTTTATTTTTTTTTTGTTCAGCCCTCTGGCTGAAAAAAAAAAAAAAAAAAAAAAAAAAAAAAAACACCAATCTGTGTATAACCAGCTTTTGCACTGCACTAACAAGGATCATGAAAAACAAATCAACTTGGTTATACTCTAATTCACATTTTAGGCCACGTAAGAAACTACACAGACAGTGCAGAGGCAGATGAGGCCCCGGACGGCAAAACAGTACGATTAAAGCTTTTACTATACACAAGAGTGTGTTAAAGTTCATATACAACATGATATGAAGGTAGCCGGGAGCTGCCTCTAGAGGTCCCACCACCCTTGGCCATGGTCAGTGTTGCTATGCTAAAATCAAATCCCATTTTAATACAAATAAAGGAACTGCTATTAGATGCAAAATGAAGCTACTTTTACTGCAGATGCACATTTGACCTTTTATCATCTGCTAAATAAAAACCACCATGGTTCCCATCACACTTTCACAATGACAAATTAAATCTGATGATTGGTAGCTTTGGGGTATTATACAGCCCAAGAGGCAAAACCAGTGATGTCAATTCAACTAATTCTATTCCAGATTCCATTAGAACACCAAAATTACAAAAGTGAATAAAGTAATAAAGAATTATTTTAAAATGCCAGGTTATTTTACTTGACATATTGAAGTTTAGTGATCATCTGTAGTGAGACAACGGTAGATCTGCAGTAATACAGAGTAAACATTACTTTAAGCTGTATTTCTGCACTGTTCATGCTTATAAAAAATTAGGAATATAAATTTTGCTGGGAATTCTGCCACTCTCATCCTCAAGTTCTTGCCAAGTAAAGCATGTAGAATGTAAACGATGAGGCTTAAGAGGACAAAGACAGAGCACTATGAGGTAACGGTCAGGCAATTACATTTCGTGAAGACTTGTAAACACTTGCCCATGCCACCTGGTGAGCAGCAGACAAAGAATAGGTCCATATAGGTAATAAACACCTAACAGACTTTGGCAATAACTAGAAGTTCAATTTCTAGAGCTAAAGCATAATAAACAAAGAAAATGTAAGTAAAAAAAAAAAAAAAAAAAGCTCATTTGAATTGTGCCAAGCACGTACAAAGTGAGCTACCAAACTCTCTGAGATTAGAGGCAGAAAAGAAGTTTCACAATCTATGCCCTGGCATGTAAATACTGGAAAACATACAGCCCACCTGGAGATAGAAATTAAAGTACAACTGAAGTCAAAGGAGGATTATAACCCAGCCATGCCATGCTTTATTTGCCATCTGTGTCCCATTGAAGGATAGTTCCATTAATTTCGGGTCTTATAGCCACAACAGGAAGTGAGAGGAAATTCCTGGTAATCTCCAGAACTAGTGTCACCATTGGAAGGTATCCCCTCCTATTTCTGTTCTGGTAACCACTCAAAATTTGTGATTTTCTTTCATTGATAATGGTCACCAGGTCGAATAGATTAAAATATAGATTACAGAGCCATTAAGTAGTAGACGTGTATGGATTATTTTTGGAAATAAGGATATCATTTGGTGTCCCCTTAAGTTTAGTGAAATTTTTCTTTTCAAATCAGCACCAAGAACAGTACTTACAATGAATGCAAAGTGTCCCTTGTGCTGGTGGCTGCTGTGTTACTTGAAATCTTCGGTCCTCTGCCCCCTTGATTTCCCCGCAGTGTGGTGCTGCGGAGATATTATGCTAACTATTGCTACCTTTTTTGCCCCCCCCCCTCTAATCATAGAAGCTTTACTATTGGTTCCTACAAAAAATCTATGAATGGAGAATGGATGGATGAAAGGTTCACCTCCTTCATTCACTTTTCTTTCATTGTAAGTACTGTCCAGGTGCCGATTAAAAAAAAAAAAAAAAAAAAAAAAGTGTTCAATATACTTAAGCGTTAACAATATATTAGGTGGTAAAGAGTTGGTCTGTAGTTCCTGGCATTTGCAGTAAGATATGTTCCAGTGCAAGATAATGAAAGATTCATTTGTATACACTGAAGAGCTTTGCCCTAGCTAACGAACCTAGACTCAAAGTGGTTCTAAACGTACAAGCCTTTTTACCTTGATGCATTCTATGCAATAAGGTACAAACCTTCTGCAAGCAGAACCCCTCCAAGCCCCTTATCCTTACCTGAGTCTGATCTTGATCTAGCAATGTGCACAAGAGCAGCGGCTCTCCTGTCTCTCTCTCCCCCCATTGTCCATTAGCTCCTGTTGCTGTACATCACAGCCAGTGAAGAGTGGGTGGGGCTGAACTAAGCTCTGTGTGTCCATTGACAGTGAGTATACACAAGTACCCTTATAGCAAGTGGCTTGCTATGGGGGCATTTGGCAGGGGGGGGGGGGGGGGGAGCCAGTAGCCGCAGAAGGGGACCCTAGAATTGAGGACTGCTCTGTGCAAAACCATTGCACAGAGCAGGTAAGTATCACATGTTCATGATTTAAAAAAAAATGTTACCTTTAGAATCACTTCATGTGTTTTGCATTAAGAACAGCATACATGCTAGCATACTCTTAATCTAACCATTGGCAATATAAAATGGCCAGTTATGCAGGTAGGAACCAGCTACCAGGATTTATAGAACATTATATCTGATCCAGCATCTCAAGAACTAGATTCACATCTGAAATTTTGGGATCTTAAGCAGAATCATTGCGATTTTGCCTGCGATCCCAAATCTCCCTGCAATAATGGCAAAAAATACCACACGTGCTCGGGTGCTATTTATTTTCAATGACACCTAAATGCGGTGTGGTTCTACCACCGCAGGAGCCTTTTTTGGGCAATCAGCTTTGCACAATGAGGTTTGCTGCGATGGCACTGCGTTTAAATGCCATTGACAATCAATGGGGCCTCAATAGAAAAATATATCAGATGCTAGGTCTACTTTAACATCTCCCTACCCAAGTAAGAAAGGGAAAGAACTTTGGAGACACTCATTATTACCTCCTGGGGAACCCTAAACTGCCAAATATACACCTGCATGTCATATTAGACTGCCTATAAACGATCCATTCTCACATCAATCCAAATGCCTATGTTTGAAAGTGTGATTACGTTAAATATGAATAACTTCAAGTGTAAAACGTACTGTCCTAGTGTGTGTTTTTTTTTTCTGTGACCATAGGAGAATAATAGGCCAAGAACAAGTGGTGCCTCTACTCACTGGGTCCATCTGTGTGTCTCGTTCCTCGTGCTGAAAACAGCACTTCAGATTTAGACACAAGGTACTTCCTAGCGTGTTGGAATATCAGATTGCACAAAAGAGATTTATTACACAATGTTCCATGCAATATGACATTT